AGATCAGGGTGTGACTTTCAAGTTAAGATTAGAAACTTCCCCCAAGTTGGAAGGGACCTAAGACTCCATCTGGTCCAAAGCATACAGATGGACAGTAGTCGCAGATATAAGCGGCTGCATTGTGAAGGAGCAACAAAGCGTGTATTCTACACGGTGAAGAGCGAAGAAAGTCACGGGAATTTCATGTACAGACAACCTCCTCTGTTCCTCCCTATAGTAACATTGAAAAGGCGGGCAACACCTTTTAACGAGCTTTTTAGGAATAAGGTAGATTTCAGGCTGGAAGGGACCTTCCTGATGTCTTCTGTATTTATTTGTTTTTGCAGATGAGTAAACTGAGGCCTGGAAAGGCAGTAGGGCTTGCCCCAGGTTCCCCAGGCAGTCAAGTGGCCATGCTGGGATCTGAGTCCAGATCCTCCGGCTTGGTGCATTTACCTAGTTTAGTCTGGCAGTTTGCTCGAGCTGGAAAGGACATCAGTCCAATCTCATTTTACAGACAAGGAAACTGAGGTCCAGGGAGAAGTGTTTTGCCCAAGGCCAAACAAACTGAGGCCCTCAGTGACATCATCTGTAAAATACGGAGGTTGGACCTGATGGCCAAGCCAATCCTCTCTTCACTTCCCACTTGGCTGTCCTCTTTGGCTTGGCCTCCATCATGCCCCCAGGAAACTCATCAACCTTGGTGCTCATAAGTCATTGGTACCCTCTGCCCCTCTGATTGGAAAGCTGGAAGGCAGTCTCCAGCAAAGGACTCCTCCCAAAGACTCCATTTAAAGAGGGTATGCAAGCAAACCAACTCTTCATTTCCCACCAGGCTGCACTCCTTTGCATTGGACTCCAACATGCCCCAGCCTGGGGTAACTTTCCTTTCCCATCCCCCCTTTTCAGCTTCCTCCTATGGGCTACCCTCCCCCGTTAGACTAAAAACACTCTGAGGGCAGGGACTGTCTTTCTTCTTCATATTTGTATCCCCAACACTTAGCACAGTGCCTGGCACATGGCAGGTGCTTAAGAAATGCTTGCTGAGATGAACTGAATGGACAAGGTGTGGATGAGTCCCAACCTGTACAGGTGAAGGGAGTGACGACTGCACAGGTAGAGACGAGCTCATGGACCAAGCAAAGACTGGAAGCCCATTTCCAATTCCTGCTAATTGTTCTCACATGATGTGGGATCTAATGCCTTGTTGCTACGTGCTATAAATAAAGACCTACCTTCCCAGGCCTTCTGCTTTTGCTTTCACTAAAAGAGAACGATTTTCCCGGAATGAGGGACTTGAAGTCGGGGGACCCAGGCCTTACCGTGCGTTATGTACTACTTTGGGTGACTTACGGCCTCTTGGCCTCAAGTTCTTAATCTGTCAAATGCTGGGCTTAGAGCAGACGACCACTGAGCTCCCTTCCAGACCCACAGCCCATGCCCGTAAGCCAGGGAAACAAAATCCTTGAGCCTAATAAAAGTCTTCCTTTCCTTGCAGTAGATCAGACTCCGCAAGTTCCTGCTTTAGCCCAGCCTCCTCATGAGCCTCTTAATACTTGAGGTTCAACTTTTCTGCCCTGCTCTTCCCTACCTCTCTGGGCCTCGGTTTCCTCCTGGGTAAAATGAAGGGGTCGGACAAGCATCCCAGGGTCATAGATTTAGACCAGGAAGGGACCTTAAAGGCCGCTCTGTTCCAAACTTGTTCTTTTATAGACACTTTGCTTCAGAAACTGAAGCAAACCCAGAAGGAATAAGTACTCTGTCCAACAACACAAGGAGTAAGCGGCACAGCCTGAATCTGGGCCCATTTCTGATTCCAAACTACAGTCCTGCCAGCTGGAAGTCAGGGGCTCCTAATCTTTTCTGGGTGGCATCCTGCCCCTTGGCAATCTGTTGAAGCCTACTCCTACTAGGGGTCATTTAACCTTTCTCTGCCTCAGTTCCTTCATCTGTAAAATGGGGATAGTAATAGCACCTGCCTCTCAGGATTGCTGTGAGGATCAAATGAGATAATAAATGCAATTTATGTTATCGTTGTTCAGTTGTGTCCGACTGTTCGTGACCCTATCTGGGGTTTTCTTGGCAAAGATACTGGAGTGGTTTGCCATTTCCTTCCCCAGCTCATTTTACAGATGAAGAAACTGAGGCAAACAGAATGAAGTGACTTGCCCAGGGTCACACAGCTAGGAAGTGTCTGAGGTAACATTTGAACTCAGGAAGATGAATATTCCAGACTCCAGGCCCTGGCTCTATGCTGCACACTAGTAAGGGCAAAGCACTTTGCAAACCTTAAAGACCCATTCTCAGAAGAATGTTTTTAAATGAATAAAACAGAACGACAAAGAAAATCGATTCTATGGAAATACAGTTAAGAACCCCCAGGAACCAATGGTTTCCATCAAGCAGACTTTTGGAGCTCAGTTACTCTGGTAAGTCGGTGTGCCTTCCAGACTTAAACAAATGGAACCCTTAAAATTAATTCCTTAGGAAAAAATGTTTTGTGTTGGTGGAAATAAAGTAAAAGCGCACCTAGCTATCTATTTCCGTCTTGACTGAGGCACACACGACCTCAGAAGGGGCAACTGTTGCTCAGGGCATTAAAAGGTGGCTTTGAGAAGAAGCTAATTCTTCTCAGAACTAAGCAGCTCAGCCTGCTTTTCCTTTTTTTGAAGGGAGAAAACACACACACACACACACACACACACACACACACACACACACACACACGAGAAAACTGGCACCGACCAGCTCCAACCCTAATGGACATAACCCAGAGCTCGGCTCTGGGCTCTGTAAGGGAGCTTCTGGACAGAGAGCATGCCGATGAACACTCACACTCCGTGTGTGTTTCCGTTGTCCCTTAGACCCGACTGGCAGAAAGGGAGAGGTGGATTTTCTCAATAAGGAATCTTCTCTCTGCAGGTCCAACATCCCCAGGTCCTTCTGCCCATCTTCATACCACATGATTCCCTACTGTTTGCTCTCCTGGCCACAGGCCGCAGGCTCTGCTCCGGTTTCTCCATTCCTTTCCTGAGAGGTGGCCAACAGAACTGAACCAAGTATTCTAGACAAGGGCCTGATGAGGAAGGGCGGGGGTTCAGCTCCCTTGTGCCAGATGCTCGGCTTTTCATACCGGGGCCTACCGTGACGTGTGTCCTTCTGTTGACCACGTTTCACTGTGGACCAGAGGTGTATCTCCATCTATTGATGCCCTAAATCTCTTATCTCTTGAACAGCTGCTAAGCCAGCTTTCCTTGACCTGGTCTGCCTCCATTAAGCCGCTGAACCCAGGGCCACTGCATCACCTTTGTTTTAGACTGTTGACAACTTTTCCAAGGCTGATTATGTCAGACAATATATGAGCTATCCCTCTCAGCCTTGTGTCACACCAAACTCAATACCGCCAGTTGTTCTGCAGAACAATTTGGAACTGGGACCACAGCCCTAGAACTGGAGATGGCCTTGGAGGATGCCATCGAGGATAATTCCCTCATTTCCAAAATGAGGAAACTGTGCTCAAGGGAGCTTCAGTGACTCATCAAGGCCACCCAAGTAGTGAATGACAGGCAGCGTATGAACCTGGGTCTTCTGATCCCAAAGACAGTGTTCTTTCCACTGTACCAGACTATCTTTTTTTTTTTTTAAGGCAATTGGGCTTCAGTGACTTGCCCAGCGTCACACAGCTAGTAAGTGTCAAGTGTTTGGTCTGAAGTCAGATTTGTACTCGGGTCCTCCTGACTTCAGGGCCGGTGCTCTATCCACTGCACCACCGAGCTTCCCCTTATCTTTTAATTTTACTGGAAAAGTCACTAAACCCAGCACTAACAATACCAGGCACATTCCCCAAGGAAGGCAAAGACAGAAGGGAAAGGCCCTAATTGTTAGTGCACTCTTCCTCCTCAAATAATATCATATCTACTTATTTGTTGATAAGTTTTGGGCCCCTGGTAAAACGTAAGGTCCTTGAGGACAGGGCCTGTTTCTCTTTTCTGTCCTTCTGACTCCCAAGCTTAGCAAGGTGCCTGCACACAAGGGCGGGCCCTTCTGGCTCTAGTCCACATTCTGTGATGTCCTTTGGTCCTCATGATAGCCTTGGGAGGCGATCATGCAGGCATCATTGTCCTCATTTAACCAAGGAGGAAGAGGAAGCTTCTAGTGGATAAATGACTGGCCTAAGGTCACATAAGTGGGATCCAAATCTAGGCCTTTCCACTCCAAACACAGAACTCTCACCATTGCACTTCATAGTAGCTGAACTCTGAATACAAATGTGTTTGGCCGAGTCTTAGTGAGGGAAGCAGAAGCTTATCAAGAGAATGATTCTGAATCTGGAGACAGAAAAATGTTTGCCCCAAAGAGACAGATACAGAGAGAGATAAGAGAGACATACAGATTCATATGGACACAGAGAGATACACACAAGAGACAGAGAGATGCACAGAAACAAATAGAGGGGGAGTGCCATGGAAACAAAGAGACATACAGTAAAAATGAGAGACACATACACAGACAGAGAGAAAGAGGAGGAGAAAGATGTATACAGAGGCAGACAAACATACATAGGGACAGAGAGACACAGAGATAGACATAGAGACAGAGATCAAAATAGAGAAAGAGATAGATTCACACAGACACACACAAGGGAGAGAGACACTCAAAGAGAGAGTACCACAGAGATAGAGACAGTAAACAGAGACACAGAGAGACACATGCAGACACAGAGAGAGAAAGATGTATACCGAGGTAGAGACACATTCACAGAGGCAGAAAGCCACAGAGAGAGATCTATACAGAGACAGAGATTCACAGAAACAAATACAGAGAGCCCCAGAGACAGAGAAGAGACAAAGACAGATGGCAAGAGAGATACTGAGACATTGACAGAGGTACAGACAGAGATAGAGACACAAAAGCAGAGTCAGAGAGAACAAAATCCTTCAGGGGCACGCGCTCCTGAGGCAACAAAATGAAGCCGGTTAACTCCTCTGATTTAAGAGGCAATGCCCGGACACTGGACTTACTGGGCGTTTCTTCTAAGATTTCCTGGAATTTCGTCCTTTCATAGTCTACCAGCTGGCGCTGAAGATGGGGTCGAAGACTCTTGATGGTGAAATTGACCATGTCCATCTTCATGAGGTCCAGCACGTGGAATATTTGTCTTTAAAAATCAGAATGAGAATGAGTTAGAGAGGGAAGGGTAAGAGCGAGAAATTCAGTTTCAAAATTGCATGTGCTGATGGAGATGGGGGGGTATATACATACATATGTATGCATACACATATATACATACACATATATATACATACGTGTGTGTCTACAGAAAGAGAAAGAGAGAGAAAGAGTGAGAAAGAAGGAGATCCAGGAAAATAAGAGATATAACAATTACTATAGCAATTTAAATGGGGGGTGGAGCTTGGGAAGAGAACAGCAAAATAATCAAAACTGAGTGCTGGGTAATAATAAGGCTCAAACTTGGCCTTGATGAAGAAAGAGGGAAATGTCCTCCTTCTCTTCTTTGCCAAAGAGGACTATGGATGTGGAACACTGACGATACTGTCAGACATGGTGGATGCTTTGATTTGCTGAACCGCCATTTTTTTGCCCCTTTTTTATTTGCTATCATGTGGATGGTTCTCTAGGTTGGGGAGGAGAGAGAGATACATTTGGAAATGAAACTGACATAAAAACAAAAGATATCAAAAAACATTTTTTAAAAAGAAAAAGAAAACATTGTTTAAAATGTATATATGACATCTGTCCCCCTCCCTAAAAAAAATTCCACAAAATTTCATGGCCCAGTAAAATGAGGTAATTCTTGAGAGAATTCTATGTAGTATTTTAAAGTATTATTAAATTCTTTATTTCTTATTTAAAATTAATTTTAGTAATAATGAATGTTTTATTATTAAATAGTATTTTCAGTATTTTATACTCAAGTATAAAGTATTTTTATATTATATATACTTAATTATTAGGTATTTTAAAGTATTTTACATTAAAAATACTTAGGTATAGGATATAAATATTGAGTATATTAAATATAAAATAAAAGTATTTTGTACTTAAGCATAAAATATAAAAATTAGGTAAGTATATCAACTATAAAAACATCAGCATAAGTATTTTATACTTGAGTATAAAATGTAAGTATTAAGTAAATATATTAACTATAAAAATAAGTATTCTATACTTTAAAATACTTTGAAGTATTTTAAGATACAAAATGTCTAAGTGAGTTATTCCAGCCAGTCACAGATAGAAAGGAATTAAGCTACATAAACGAATAAATAAAAAATAAATATATAATAATAAAGGCGGGAAGCAGTGATCAGATGTTGTCAAACATACCCAATATACTGATTTGTTCAACAACTCTTTTTTTCACAAGATCCCGGATTCAGAGCTACAAAGAACCTTTGAAGCTATCCTTTCATTTTACAGACGAGGAAAACAAGGCCGACAGAAGTGAGCAAACTTGGCCAGGATGACACAGGAATGGCTCGGGTCTTCCTGATTCCCAAAGCCATTGTCCTAGCCACTACTTCACCCTGCTCCCAACTGTGCCATCTGGTCCAAAAAAGGGCTTTATTTGGTGGTCGAGCGGTGGTGGGAGGGGAGATACTGGACTCCAAAAAAATGTGAGAGCTTGTAAATTCTAGTGTCTTTTCCCCTTCGAGAATACTTTCTGACTAGTCTGCATGTATCCTGTATGTACCTAGTTATCTATGTATTAGCTCTCCCTTTGGAATGTAAGCACCTTGAGGGCAGGGGTACTTTTTTCTGGCCTTTCTCTGAATCCCCTACTCTTAGCATCAGTGTCTGGCAAATACTAAGTGCCTGATAAATGCTTGTGGACTAACTATTCCTTTCAATAATGCACATTGAAGCCTATCCCTGCAGACCCATCCTGGGTAATTCTCATCCACAGGCAGCCCATTGGGAAGCCCATTAAGATGTTTTTTTAAAAAGCATCAAGAAAACTTTTTTAAAAATAGAATTAATTGAGACTTTCCAGTAGAAATCAGTGAGGAGCCCAACTAGTCCCTTGGCACACTGCTTCTGTTCTCTTCCAATTATGCTGGAATAGGAGGGAAAAAAGGGCCACACATTACCAATATGAAATATTCCACATAGAATCAGATTCCTTGGATCAAGCATTCTAAAACCCAGATCTCAAGGAGTTTAACAAAAAGCCATCACTGATGGGCCATGACTTAGACGTGCAGTCAGAAGACCTCGGTTCAAGCTGTGGCCCATGGATGTGTCTGCTGGGTGACCTTGGGAAGTCATTTATCCTGTCTGGGGCTCAGTTGGCTCCTCTGAAGTTGGGCTATGCCTCTTTGAGCCCTTACACTGGGTGAACAGGAACCATGGTATGTGCTTTCTATTTTAGGATGAGAGAGTTATAAGGGGGCTTTCCCACTACCTTCTTCTCCTTTGAAATTAATCAAAAAAGTTTTACTTAGCACCTGTTGTATGCCCAGCACTATCTTAGGCACTATGAATACCAAGACAAAAAAAAGAATATTTCAGCAGAAAGAGCCCTACGTTGGGAGTCAGAGGACCTGGGTTCAAATTCCACCTCTGACACAACCTGTATGATTTCAGACAGGTCACCTAGCCCCACCCTGGGACTCAGTTTCCTCCTCTGTGAAATAAGGGGGTTGGACTTAGGCCTCCAAATTCCCTTTCAGCTCTAAATCTACAATCTTAGGATAAGTCATTGATCCTCTCTGGGTCTCAGTTTTCTCATCAGAGAAATGAGGATGATGGAGTAGTTACAGCAGGAGTTCCCTTTCAGCTTGAAATTTCAGATCCAATGATTCCTGCCCTCAAGGGGCTTACAGTCTATTGTAAGAGAATGCAAGCACATAAATGAGCTTATACAAAATAAATACAGGCTAATCTTTGCTGGAGAAGGTAATGGCAAATCACTCCAGTATCTTTGCCAAGAAAACCCCATTCGGGGGTCACAAAGAGTCAGACAGGACTGAACAACAGCCATCTTTGCTGGAGGGAAAGCGCTCCACCCAAGTTGTCCGCTCATAGGGCGCAGGGACAATTGCGTAGTCCTCCAGAGGAGATGGAAGGGCCCACTTTGATGGGAACACAGTAAGTGCTCAGTAAATGCTTACTGGATGGAAGAACAGAATCCCCCCAGCACCAACCTCAAGAGCTCCACAATATTGCCAGTGGCTTTGAGTTCCTTGATGTCATCATCCCGGACAGGAGCACACAGCTTGCCCATGGTACTAATGACATAACTGGCCAGTCCCTGGATGTCCACGGCATTATGCTCAGCTTGCTGCCTGATAAGGTCGGGATCCAGAACTTCACCGATCTGGGTCCGGAGCCGGTTTCCACCAGGAGTCAGAAAAGAGAGAAGAGTCTGTGGGGGAGAGAGGAGAGAGGCAAGAAAAAACCCAGGTAAGAGAATTTAAGGGATGGCTGAGGGGCGGGTGGTTTCCCTAAATTAAACAAAACAATGGAAATGATGCATTAAAAGAAAAGTACATAGAACAGAAGAAAGTTCAGGGAGAGACAAATGGGATAGCCTTGGAACCAACATGCTGAAAGTTTTATATCCTACTTTAAAAAATCAGTATATAATGGAGATTTCTGGTTTCATGTACACTCTTCTTTTTTTGTTCTTTGCATAATAATAACAATAACAATAATTCTTTGCACATAGAAATGCTCAATTTGCTAGTATTTCTTAAGTCGAGAACAACAAAAAAAAATTTTCTAATTAAACAATTCCAGAGGCAGTGTGGTCTGGCGCAGGACCCGCCCTCCATCAGGCCTGAATGTCTGCTCCTCGACCAGGGAGATTATTTCATACTTCCCCCGCCCAGCACAGTGCCAGGCCCACAGCGAATGCTTAACAAATGTTTGCTGACTGGTTGCCATCTGGATACCAGCTGTATGAGCTAGAGAAGTGGAAAGAATGACGGATCTGGCAACTGAAGAAAAAAGTTCACATCCTGCTCTTGCACCTGTGTGACCTGGGGCAAGTTACTTAACTTCTCTGGGTCTCAGTTTCCCCATTTGTGAAAGTAGACAGTTGGCCTAGTTGGTCTCTGAGGCCTTCCAGCTCTAGATATTGGGTCACTTAAATTCTGTGGTCACTTAACCTCCCTGGGGCTCAGTGGCCTTACTTATAAACCAGAGTGGACGGGACGGGCTGCGAGGCCCCCACCAAATGGGGAGCTCTGACAGCGTGAAACGACCCACGAGCCGGCGGCGAGGCATCCACGACCAAAGGGTCCACAGGCAACTCACTACCTCACACGAACTTGCAAAGATGGGGCTGATTGGCACTGGATGCAGGGGAAAGCTTCCTTACTGTGAATTCTCTACACCAGTGAAATCACAGGTTCATACCAAGGAGGAAAAAAGCTCTGTACCCACGGGCACCACTCATTCCAGGTGTGAGCAACCTAGACGGAACCAGTAACAGAACAGGCTGTAAGGCCTTGGCCCTGGGTATCAAAGTTTCCAAAAGAATGCTCTCTCCCTATCCCTCCTTCCCTTTCTTCTCTCCCTATCCCTCCTTCCCTTTCTTCTCTCCCTATCCATCTCCCTCTTTCCTCTTCTCCCTAATCCTTTTCTCTTCTTCCTTTCCCTCTCCCTATCACTCTTCCCTCTTCTTCTCCCTAACCCTTTGCTTCCTTTCCCTCTCTCTTTTCTTCTTCTCCCTCTCCCCTTTTCTCCCTCTCCCTCTCCTTCCTCTCCCTATCACTCTCCCCTCTTCCCTTCTTTCTCTCTCTTCCTTTTCTTCCTCTCCCTATCTCTCTTCCTCTTCCCTTCTTTCTCTATCCCTCTTCGCTTCTTTCTCTCTCTATCCCTCTTCCCTTCTTTCTCTCCTTATCCCTCTTCCCTTCCTTCTCTTCCTATCTTCTTCCCATCCCCCTCTCTCTCCTGAACTAAATCACTTTCCCTGCAGCAAACTCCCAATATAGCAACCCTAAAAGCAGCAGGGCTCAGGTCACCCAGAGTTCCTGGCACTATATCAAAACCTTTGCAGAGACGCCGGAAGAAGGGCAGGCTGTAGGGCACGGTGTCCTGGGAACACCAGATAGGCCAGGCCTGTGCTCTTCCACCCAGGTAGTTTTCTAAGGTAGTGTGGATCAGTGGTTACAACCCTCTGGGTCACAAGACCTGGTCAGTGCCTTGGCTCTGGCATTTACTACCTGTGTGTCCTTGGGAAAGTCATTTCACAGGTAAAATAGGGATCACGATAACTGATATTTCTATAGAACTTTACTGTTTGAAAAATATGTCATTTCTGTCATCTCACTGTAGCTTGACTAAAATCCTGAGAGGGAAGTGTAATTATCTTCTCCACTGTTCAAAGGAGGAAACTGAGGTTCATAGAGAGGAAGTGGCTGGTCCAACGCCCAAGGCAGGACTGAACCCTGGTGTTCCTGGTCCTATGGCTAGTTCTCTACCCCCCTATGCACTGCCTCTCACAACAACCCAGGCATTTCCCAGCTGTGTGAACACAGGTCAGTCAACTACACTACCCTGAGCCTCAGTTTCCCCAATTTGCAAAATGAGGGTGCTGGATTAGATGGACCCTTTCAGCTTTAAAGCTATGATGGAAAATGGGATAATTTACGTAGCAGTCAAATCAACAAGCTGTGTTTGAGGGACCCACAAAGGAAACAGAGATTCTGCAGGGGGCTCTGACTTTTCTTTTCCAATTTTCCCTCCTTTGAGACCTAATGAGCCACCTTACTGACATCTATCACCACGTATCTTGTATGCATCCACTTATGTCTCCCCCACTAGAATGTAAGCTCCTTGAGGGCAAAAACTGTTTTTGGTTTGGCCTTTCTTTATATCCCCAGCTCTTGGCACAGTGCGGGGCACATAGCGGGCACTGAATAAATGCTTGTTGATTGATTCAGTCTACAGAAGGCATAGGAGATAGCACAGGACAGAGAAGAGAGGGCTGCTCATGGTCAAAAAGACTTGGTTCCAAGCAGTTTTTGTTCGGAGTCTGAGGCGCTGCCAAATGGGAATTTCTTCCCAGTAGAAGGTAAGCTCTTTGAGGGCAGGGCCAGTTGGACTAGATCGCCTCTGAGGCCCTTCCCAGCTCTGGAGTTTTCAGCGAGGGGACCTGCCTGCTGCCTGCAGGACCGCCTCTAAGGCCAGAACCCCCCAGAGCCCCCCAAAGACTGAGTGACACAGGAGAGACCTGAGCGGAGGGAGGAAACTGTTCACACTGAATGTATCACACTGATACATTCAGAGGGCCAGACTTCTCCCCACCCCCCCCCAAAAAAGGAATGCGACAAAAAGTCAAAAGGCACATTTGCTAACTAAAGATCAAAATGACACTTTGTGTCTTCTTGTATCTACTTTGTATCTGCTTTTTGGGGGTATGTGTTTTCTCCTCCAATAAAATGTAAGCTGCTTGAGGGCAGAAGCTGCTTTTGTTTCAATTTCTATCCTTTGTAGCTAGTACAGCGACTGACAGACACACAGTAGTCAACTTATTACATATGTGTTGAGTGGACGGACGGAGGGATGGACTGATGGATGGACGGATGGATGGACGGACGGATGGATGGACGGATGATGGATGGATGGATATATGGACGGATGGATAGATGGACTGATGGATGGGCGGATGGATGGATGGATGGATGACAGTGCAAGATGCCAAGTGGATTTGATGAGCCTTTGCCATAACTCTGTGGCTCTCCAGAGTTCTGTGCCTTACAGACTGGAAAACACTGCTTTAAAGCACTATATATAAGTTAAGCTTCTGGGTACCTCTAGGTAGGGACAGAAGGGAGAAAAGGAGAGGCGATGAGGGAGGGAAAAGAAATGGAAAACAGAAACATGCCCTCTGTAGTTTTGCCATGTGGAGCAAAAACCATCTTTGCTGGGTCGATGAGAGTCTTAGAGCGGGGAGGGACCTCGGGAGTTGCCAGCTCCACCTTTCCCGTTTTGTAGCTGAGGAAACTGAAGCCCAGGGAGGGGAGGTGACTTAGGATCTCAGATCCAGGGACATCAGAGGCCAACGAGTCCAACCCCCTCATTTTACAGACAGGGAAACTGAGGCCCAAGGCGAGGAAGAGACTTGTTCAAGGACACACAGGCAGTAAATGTTAAGAGACGGAGTTCAAATCCAGGTCCTCTGACTCTTAATCTGACTGGTGAGTTTCAAAAATGAAAGAAGGCAAAGTGTTTTTAGAGAGAATGAAAGGAAAGGAGAGAGAGAGAGAGAAGAAAAGAAAGAGAAAGAAAAAGGAGAGAGAAGGGAGAAAAATAAAGACAGGGAGAGCTCAAGAAAGAGAAAAAGGGAGGGGGAAAGAGAGAGTAAGGGAGAAAAAGAGAGAAGAAGAGGGATAGAGGAAGAGATTGAGAGAGAGAAGGGAAGGGAGGGAAAAAGAAAGACGGAGAGGGGGAAGGAGGGAAAGAGAGAAAGCCAGAGAGAGAAGCAGAATAGATAGAAGAAAAGGGAGAGGGAAAGAGAGAAGGAGAGAAAGGAAGAGAGAGAAAAATAAAGGGAGGAAAGGAGGGAGAGAGGAGGGATGGAGGAAAAGAGAGAAGAGGAGAGAGAAGGAGGGAGGGGGAAGAGGGAAAAGAGAGAAAAAGAGAGAGTAAGGGAGGGAAAGAGAGAGAGGAAAAAAGGGAGAAAGCCACAGAGACAGAGGGAGAAAAGGAAAGGAAGGAAAAAGAGAAGGGAGGGAAAAAGAAGAGGGAGAGAGACAGAGAGGGGAGAGAGAAAGGGGAGAGAGAGGGGGAAGAGAGAAAAGGGAGAGGGAGGGAAAGAGGACAGAAAGGAAGGGAGGGAAAAATAAAGAGAGGAAGGAAGGGAAAGAGAGAGAAGGGAGAGAGAAGAATGGAGAGAAAGAGAGTGAGAAAAGAGAGAGGGGGGGAAAGAAGGGAAGAAAGAGAGAGAGGGAGAGAGCTGAGCATGGAGCAGGGGAAGGGGGACAGAGAGCGCTATAACTTGCCTCTCTTATTTCTTCAAAAAGTTTGATGGCATGTTCGTACTCGGGAGGATCTTCACTGAGTTCCGCCTCCAGGTGGTCCCAGAAAGCCTGGTGAACGACATGTTTCACTCGACCTGCCAGGCTGCAAGGGAGAAGAGATCACCGTGTGAGAATCGGCTAGCTGGTCTTTCCCAGAGGCCAGAATTCTAAACCTGAGCCAAAGGAGACTGGCCCCTAAGGACGCCCAGCCGCTTGCCAAGCTCAGCTCAGAGGTGCCAGCACCTGTTTCGGTCGTCCTGGTCCCCAGTCTGAGCCTTCCTGTGGTGAGGCAGCCGCTGCCAGAGGTGGGCAGCCTCAGCCCCGGCCGCACAGCTAGGGAGCAGTTCCTGGCAAGGGGCGGGGGCGGGGGGGTGGGGAAGGGGTATTCCTATGCCTAGGCTCTCTAGGCTATCAAACAGAACACTCCTCAAGTTATGACCCCCTTGGCACATCTCACAATCTTAACAAGGGGGACAAAAAAGATCAAATAATCATCAGTACCAGGAGAGATGAAGATTAATCTCCCCAAGGAATTTTCCTTGTAACCACTATCGTATCTGCCTATTCAGATACTGTAAGTGACCGCTCCTCGCCACAGAAGTAGGCACGGTTCTCGGAGCTTTGGGGAGTCACAAAGATCTGGGTTCCAATCACGGCTGACACGTACTCCTTGTATAACCCTGGGGAAGTCACTTAGCTCCCCTGGCTCAGTCTCTTTATTTGTACAATGGGGGGGTCAGACTAGATGGTCACTGAGGGCCCTACCACCTCTAGAGCTAGGCTCCTTTCTGAGCCAGTTTTCCTGCCTGTAAAATGGGTCTCACAATACTTATAAAGACAGCCTTATACGGATGGTGAAGGGGTCAAGTGAGATAACACGCAGCAGCACTTTGCAGACATCAAAGCAATGTAGACGTGGCTGCCCGGGGTATTTTTCTTGGGGCTGGAGTGGAACTAAGAGGCCATGAGGCCCAACCTCATGTCACAAAGGAGGAAACCGAAGCAGGGAAGGGTCAGTTAATAAGCTTCCATAGCAGGATTTGTTCCCAGCTTCTCCTGACCCCTGGTCCAGTAACTTATCCACTATACCCCACTACCTTTCAATAAACTCTGGCACCCAGAACTGAACCCAGTGCCCAATTTCTCCAGAGCAAAATGTTTGGCCACTGGCCTAAGCAAGCAAGCAGCTTGTCCTTCCATGGGATCAGGTGTCCTGAGTGGAAGAGGCCTCTGGAGGACCACAGAAGTGAATTCATTTTTCCAGGGCCCGACTTCAGACTCAAGGCCTCTGGTGTGACTTGCTTCTAACGCAGACACACATCCACTCACCTGTTCTCAGGCAGAGCTCCCTGTCTGACGTGAAAGTTCTCATTTACGGCGATCTCATGAGCCAGCGTCATATTGGAGATATTCCTCGCGGCAGCCATCACTTCATCAAACGTCACCACTCTGGGCGGGCTTGTCGCTAAAGGGGTGAGAAGTCCAGGGTGACTCAGAGCCTCACTTCTGGAAAGCATTGGTCTCACCTCTGACCCTCCCACATTTTGAAATGCTTATAGTCTGAGCAAAATCAAATAATAATAACAAGCATGTATTAGGCACTTAACGCATGCTAAGTGCTTCACAAATCTCATCTCGTTTGATCCTTACAACAACCCCAGGAGATAGGTGCTATTATGACCCCCATTTTATATTTGAGGAAACTGAGGCAAACAGAGGTTAAGTGACTAGCCCAGGGTCACACAGCTACTAAATGTCTGAGGCCAGATTTGAACTCAGGTCTTCCTGACTCCAGGTCTAGGGCTCTGTCCCTAGCTGCCCACACCTTGAACTTCATATAATACTCTGTTCTGTATTTCTCTTTCATCTGAATGTAAGTTCCCTGAGGGCAGGGATTTTTTTTTTCTTACTTTGTATCCCCAGGGCTTAGCCCAGTGCCTGGGTTATAATAATTACTTAATGAAAGGGTTGATCTCTCTTATTTTGGCCCAAACTTGTGTTTGCATCAGGGTAGGAACTTCAAGTGTGGAACTTTCTAGTACCAGTGCAGTTCAGGGGTTGAGTCAAGCAATCAATCCATGAGAATTTATGAATGTACTGGGTGGGGACCAGGGCCACAAAGACAAAAAGCAGACAATCCTCCTTCAGGAGCTAATATTCTTATGGGGGGAGGGGGGAATGGGCACATAAAAATAGATACAAAGTATACACATGGTAGCTACAAGACAACTGAGCTGGGAGGGAGGCACATGGCTACTAAGTGTCAGAGAGTATTTAACCAAGTCTTCATGATTCCAAGGCTAGCCATGAATGAATGAATGAATGAATGAATAATAAAATTTTATTAAGTACTTTTCTGTTGTTCAGTAGTTTCAATGATGTCCTACTTTTCTTGACCCTCCTTGGAGTTTTCTTGGCAAAGATACTGGAGGGATTTGCTATTTCCTTCTCTAGCTCATTTTACAGATGAGGAAACTGAGGCAAACAGGGTTAAGTGACTTGCCATGAGTCACACAATGAGGAAGTATCAAAGGCAAGGTTTGAACTCAGGTCTTCCGACTCCAAGTCCAGTGCTCTATCCATTGTACCACCTAGCTGCCCATATTAAGTAATTATTATGTGTCAAACACAGAGCTAAGTGCTTGGGAGTCACATCTAAAATGGAGGATATTACCCACTATGTCATGTTGCTTCTTATATCCTTCTTACTCACTGAGCCTGGAAGTGATAAAACTAAATTTTTTATTTAAATTTTTTATTATTTTAGATGTACTAAAAAAGTTTGAAAAAAAAACTAGTAATAAAGTAGGTGTCAAAATATATAACGGGGAATGGCTGAATTAGCTGCAGTCTCTAAAGGTAATGGCATATCACTGAGCCTTAAGAAATGAGGAAGAGGAGGAAAACCCAGAAGGGCATATATGAGCTGATGTGGAGTAAAATAAAGCAGAAGCAGGAGAATCACTTACACAGTGGTGGTAATAATATAAAATATTACCAATAGTATAATTATTAGTAATATGTATTATTTCTAATATTAATAATTATTGATAATATAATTATTGCCAAGGATATAATTATCATATATACTTATTTCTAATACTAATGGTTAGCAATATTTATTACATATAATACTAATAATATAAGGTATTAACAAAAATGATATATAATACTTATTACTGATAATTATTAGTGATGTTATTATTTCTAATACTAATAATATAAATTATACAATAATATGATTATTTGTAATATTTATTACTAATTATTAGCCATGCTAATTATTACCATTGTCCATCAGTCAATCACAGGGCAATGTGGACCAATTGACAGTCCTCATTTCCCTCGGCTGCACTGATCTGGGACTTCTCTAGATCTCTCTCCGTTGCCTTCCTTCCCCAGGAAACTCATGATTGAGAAATCTCACTATCCTGTAAGACCAGGTGTGTTTCGTCCTCCCCTGTCTTCAGTCCCTTCTGCCCCACTAACGGGCCCCTCTGGCTGGAGGGGAGGGTCATGGGCTCCAAGGCTTCTATTTGAGAAAGGAACTCAGCAGAGTCTATTCCCATTTTCCACCAGCTGCGGTGCTTTTGGACTTCTCTGTCACGTAGGGTACCTCTGCCCCCTTCTCGTTCACCTCTAGTGCCCCACCTGTTCAGCTTCTTTCGTTTTTTGCTGTCTTTCTCTGCTAGATGATAAATTCCTTGAGGGCACAGACTGTCTTATTTTTTACTTATATTTCATCCCTAAGGCTTAGCACACTGGTTGGCACATAGTAGGCGTTTAATAAATATTGACTGTCAAAAACCATTCATTAAGGACCTACTATGTGCTAAGTGCTTCAAAGACTTAAACATGGGCAGTACACTGGTGAAATAATGATGTACTTGGGTCTAGGAGATAATGAAATCAATTTCCCACTGGTCTCTCCATAAGGGGAGGTGGGAGGGGGTAGGGGTAGCTGTAGGTCAGAATGCAGCATATGCTCTGAGATGCAAATGCTTTGTTTTTGTGTTAAAAAAGGATGGCCCAATAATGAGATGGAGCATGCTGGGAAATTACTCAGCCATAAAGACAAAAGGCTAATATTAGTAAAACCATAAAAACTTCACATTTTAAAAATAGCAAACTATAGGACAATTCTATGTTAGCGGGGCTGCAGGGAAGCCAGGCATTCGAGGACACTGGTGGGGAGAATGGTGGCTGGCACACCTATTTTGCAATGCAATCAGCCACAGAAATGACTCTGTTTCTAGCATTTTATTCTAAAGATACAAATTCAGAAAATGTATTGCCAGGTCTGGTTGCACATGCCTCTATCTGATCCCGTTACTGGGGAGGTCACCTCAGGTAGATCTCAAGCTCAGGAATTCTGAGCCCCAGTGGATTAAGCTGATTCACACTTAGTTTGGAACCAATTGGGTAAGTCTCTGGGATCAAAGGGGGCCTCCAGGCTGCCTGAGGAGGGACAACCAGGGAGGGCAATGGAGCAGGCCAAATCTCCCATGCGCAAGACAGGGAAACCTGATCCCCAAGAAAAAAAAAAAGAATCAATATCTTTTGTTTCTATATCCCTTCATTTCCAAATATAACTTTCATCCTCTACCAAGAAGGCTGGCCCTTAGAACAAAGAGAGAGAAAAAAAAAAGAAATTCAGTAAAAATCAACCAGTACACTAACCCTGTCTGACAGTGTATGCAATGTTCCATACCCAGAGTCCCCTACCTCTACAAAAAAGGGTTAGGGTTAGGGTTAAAAAAGGGAGGTGTTAAATACATAATTTTTAAAGGGGCATATCTGAATATCCAAACAAAAATATTCACAGCTGTTTTATCTGTGTCAGCAAAAACTAAACAGAATTGACCTGTCTTCCAAGGATTGGAGAATGGTGAAATAAACTGATTTATTGATATAATGTCATAGGATGGTGCCATATGATGAACACACGGAGAACACAAGGAAACATGGGGAAGACTAAATGAAGTCAGACCAATGGAGAATAGCAGGACCACACTGACCACGGAACTGAAAAAAGCCGTGATCGAGAACAGCAGACAAGTGGAGAGGGACATGTAACAAACTCTTTTTTCTGGTGTGAGGCCCGCTTGTTCCACAGGTTGAGATGAACAATGTGCATAGTTGGGGCCGCCATGTGCATCAGTAGAGGCAATGCCCACATTAATGAGCTCACAGGGACAATGATGTATTGTTGATTTGTGTAAAACTACTCAGTTGGGCATGCCCTTTGACCCAAACAGAATACCAACACCAGGCATATACCCCCAAAGGGATCAAAGCAAAAAAGAAAAGGACCATAACATACAAAAATACCTAGAGCAGCTCTTTTCAGAGTGGCAACAATAAATAAATAAAATGAATGAATGAATGAAAAGATAGAGAGAACTAGAGGAGTGGTTATCCTATTGGGGTACGGCCACACACACACACACACACACACACACATTAAAGTATATTAATATACTATAACACGTGTGATATATATGTTTGCATACATATATACACTCATACAAATCAAAGTATAGGAACATAACACATGTGGGATATTATCTCTATATATTGTGGTATATGAATATAATATACCATGTATAGTATATCAAATTCTATTTCTATATATATCAAAGTATATAGGTACATAAATTATGCTATATGAATATATCATATATAATATAATATGCCAAATTCTATTTCTATACATATATCAAATCATATGTATATATACACAAATTATGCTATACAAAGATATCATGTAGAGTATAGTATATCAAATTCTATGTCTATATATATCAAATTATATATGTATATATAAATTATACTATATGAAGATAATATACCATGTATAGTATATCAAATTCTACTTTTATATATAAAGTTATAGTTATATATACAAATTATGCTACATGAATATATCACATGCAACATAATATGCCAAATTATATTTCTACATGTATCAAATTATGTGTATACATACAAATTACGCCATATGAATATATCATATGCCGCATAATATGGCAAATTCTATTTCTATATATCAAATCATATATATATATACAACTTATGTTATATGAAGATAATATACCATGTAGAATATAGTATATAAAATTCTATTTCTATATATATGAAATTATATATGCATATATTCAAATTGTGCTATATGAAGATAATGTATCATATGCAGCATAATATGCCAAATTCTATTTATATATATCAAATTATATGTGTATATATACAAATTATACTATATGAAGATAATATACCATGTATAGTATGTAAAATCTATTTCAATATATGTATATATATAAATTGCACTATATAAAGATAATGTATCATATGCAGCATAATATGCCAAATTCTACTTCTATCAAATCAAATGTATATATATACAAATTATATTATATGAAGATAATATACCATGTAGAGCATAATACATAAAATTCTATTTCTCTATATATCAAATTATATATGTATATATACAAATTGTGCTATATGAAGATAATGTATCATATGCAGCATAATATGACAAATTTTATTTCTACATATATCAAATAACATTCATACACTATACGTGATATATGAATTTTGGAATACAGAGTAAGAATTTTTAATTTAGTTGCCACATATACGTGGTTCTGGTGCTGCTGCTCTTAAGTGGTATGAATTCATTTAAGTATTTTCCATATCTCCTTATCCTATATGGGGTATGTGAATATAATATACCATACCAATAATATATTATTATTCCGTAAGAAATGACAAAGTGGACAGTTTCAGAGGAAACTGGGAAGATCTCTATAAACTGATGCAGACAGAAGCAAGAAGAACCAGGAAAATAATTCATATACTGATACTGACACCACCACTCTTTGTTTGGGGATACTTTGTTAAACATTAAGGATTTTACACAAAGTCTTATTCCTTATCTTGCACATTTACTTGAAGGCAAGCAGCATGAAATAGAATTCACGGAATCTTCCTGTGTTGTGATTTGTTTATAGAAATACTCTCTTTTTTGGCTAAGTCCAGAATTTCTATTTTAATTACATTTGTTCAGCTGTTTTATGGATCATTTTTAAGTCTATGATTAAAAAAAGTTTTAAAGAGCTGAAATTGGCCTCCCCCCAAATATCAATAAAGCTAAGCATATCAGGCTAACCACCTAGACTGATTTCACAAGGGAGGGTGTGCAATGTAGCTAAGCTGGGCAGTTGGCTTCTATACAGGGAGCTGCAGGCTCAGTCTGGAGCCTTCTCATCAGAGGGGCAGTGACAGAGGATGGCTTTCTTGGCTACAAAAACTCATGAAACTGTCTATGCAGGCCTGCAGCAGCTGTGATCTGCATTGGTAAAGAGAAGGCCCACAACAAGGAAATCAGCCCCTGAAGGATTGAACTCTACACTATCTTATGGCTAACAAGGCACTTTCCAGAGTGACAGAGTCAGAGGACCCAGTGTCCAAACCTGCCTCGGTCACTTAAGTCCCTCGGTGACTCATCTTTAGTGGGGCTGCAATCCCTGGGACTCATCTTTAATATGAGGGGGTTAGACTAAATGATGTCCAAAGTCCCAACGCTATGGGCACTGGGGTCTCAATTTCCCGTAAAATGTAGGAACTGGTCTTAACAACTTCTACGGTCCCTAAGTCTGTGATCCTAAGTCCCAATCTTCTTTCGGAATTTGCTTTGGAATCTCAAGGCATTTTATTTTATGATACCTTGACTCCTAAACCACTCTGGACCAGTTTTCATATCTGAAGTACTTTGCTTGGCTAAGAGAACTATATGAATGCCAGTTGCTAATGCTATCCTTATTATTACTACTGCTGCTGAGAAGCAGTGTGGTAAACAGTGCATATAGAGCCAGCTTCAGAGTCAAAAGACCTGTCAAGTCAAGGCCCATTACCGGCCGGGTGACCCTCCAGGAAGTCGCTTGATTGTTCAAGGCCCGAAGTAAGTCTCTCAGGCTGTAAGTTGAGGATTGGGTGATGACCTCCTACACTGATGAAAGCAGAAATTTGGAACGGCAACACTGCTGTTGCTTTTGCTGCCAGTAGGACCGACTTCGTTTTCTGGTGCCTCCCTGGGGTGATACATGAAACCATTTTTGAAACCACGAGGAAAACCCTCTGGTTACTTCACTTCCTGGTTGGACCATCCCTCTGGGCAATGCAACTCAAAGACACTCAAAAGTCTCAGCAGTGGGGGAAAAAATGTACAAACACTGATTGGTCCCCGAGCAGGAGCTGAGCCAGTTTCCCCATTACTGTGAGTTTGGCAACCAGGAAAGGTGCCCCATGGGAAGGACCTCATTTGGATTCAAAAGTCCAAAGTCTAGAGATGCTTTCCCTCTCTTAATTATTTCTAGTTTATTACGCATACAGCTTGCTTTGTATATGTCTGTTTGCATGTTGTCTCCCTCCTTAGACTGTAAGCACCGTGAGGGCAGGGGCTGTGTTTGATCATTTTGTATCCCCAGGGTTTAGCACAGTGCCTGGCACACAGTGGGTGCCTAATAAATATTTAGTGATTGATAATTGTTTGTTATGCCGTCTCCCCCATTAGACTATGAGCTCCATGACAGCAGGA